TGCTGCCCCCCCACTTGCTGCCCTCCCACCCCCTGCCCTGGGGACCCCTGGCCTGAGGGGACACCCATCTCTCAAGCACACTCCCAGGACCCAGCTTCTTGGGTTGGATTGGGTGCTGTGCAGGATGAAGGGTGGCTGGGACCCCCCAAGAGGGCCAGGGACTCTGAGAGAGGCAGGGACCCAGGGGCTGCAGGGACCCCCAAGAGAAGTAAGGACTCCCAGGCAGCAGGGATCCCAGGGGGGGGGTAGGGACTCCCAGAGGGACACAGACCCTGAGGGTGAGAGGTCGGGGGCAGAAACCCAGAGCAGAAGGGACCCCCAGTGGCAGGGACAGCAGGGAACCCACGGGTGGCAGGAGGGATCCAGTGGGGCAGAGACATATGGGAAGAGGGGCACCGAGGGAGCAGATACCCCATGGGGTGGGACGCCAGGGTGTGAGGGTAGCGGGGCTGTGCCCAGCTGGTGGGTACATGGACTCATGCATCCATCTCACCTTGAAGGACACCTTCACCCTGTAGTCCACCCCCTCCTTCAGCACAAAAGCCCGGCCCCGCAGCACCTCCAGGTCTCCTGCGCCGAGAGACAGTCCATGAGCTCGGCACACCTTCCTCCTCCTCCTTCTCCCCCCCCCAAGTCTGTGCCCCCACCACTCACCTGTCAAGTCCATGGTGATTGGCCCCGGTGCCTGCTCACACATCAGGGTGAGCCTCGTCACCTGCACGTTGGGCACCCTGGCATCTAGGGACAGGCAGCAGGGTGCAGCCCTTACCTACCTGCACCCAGCCCACTGGCACCTGGGGGTGGGAGGGTGTCTGCGACCCCCAGAACGGCCTGAAGGGCCGCAGTGCCCCTGGTGGGTTGTTAGGAGCTGGCAGGTGCTGGGCAGCCCAGGCAGGGTGCAGGAAACATGGGGCATCTCAGACCAACCTTGGCATCAACACCTTTGGGGGTGAACACATTTAAAAGGGCCCAACCACAGGTATCTCGCTGGGTGTGATGCTCCCTGGGTTGGGTGGGGGTCCAAGAGGGGGTGGGGAGGAGGCCAAGGCATCCCTCAAGGTGGGTGCTGGCCTAATTGCACCTCAGCAGCCCAACCTGCACCCCGCCAGCAGCCTGCACCCCCACCAACCCACTTGCACCCCATCAGCCCACACACCCCCCACAGCCAAGGCGAGTCCTCCTCCCTGCTGGGGATGTCCCAGGGGTGCTGGGGACACCTGAGCTCCCTGCACCCGCGGAGGCTGCATCACCCTGATGGGGTGTTGGGGTCTTGGGGTGCAGGGGTGTCAGGGTGCAGGGGTGTTGGGGTGCAGGGGTGTCCAGCCCCAGCAGTCAGCCCACAGCCTCACCCAGGGCAGCGGGGATGGCACCCAGCAGTGCCTGCTTGTACTTGTGCAGGCTCTCGTCCCCCGGGTCCAGCTCCTGGATCTCCTGCAGGCTCTTCTTCTCCGGCGTCTTGTACGCCAGGGCCACGTCGGCATCCTCCTCCTCCTCCAGTGACAGCATCACCCCCTCCTTGTCAGCCATGATGTCTGCAGGAGACAGGCAGTGGCAGTCCCACCACCCTGGGGACACCCCA